TTTTCTGTTCTTTTTTTCTAGATTTTTATTCTCTTCTATAGTTTCGGTCAATAATTGCTGTAAGAATGCTGTTGAAGGTTTTTGAGATTGGCTCGTACTCTGATCTTCTTCAGGTATGGATTCTAGTTTAAATGTGAGGTATTACTATTATTAGTAGTGGTATTTGGGATTATAGTCATTGTAGACTGTTCACCTAGAAGTTGTTGTAATTGTTGTAATAATAGATTATTATCTGATATTGTGGTAGTGGTATTGGTTCCAAGATGTACTAGTTGTCTATTATTCATGTTTCTCTTGGTGCAGCTATTGGCGTAATATCCCATTTTATTGTATTTAAAATATTTGATATTTTGAGTATTGTTATTATTACTATTTGCATTCTTCTTTGGTAATCTGCAATCTCGGGCTATGTGATTACTTTTATCATAATTGTAACAAGTCTTTCCTTAATTAGGATGATTGTTAGAATTTTGATTATTTTGAGCAAACAGTCTTTTTACTTGTTTAGTTAAATTAGCTAAGGCTTTACTCATATCATTTACTGGACTTGAAACAGAAAAGAGAATGCCAAGATTTTGTGGCATAAGAGACATGGAGTTAAGGGGATTCTGATAAGTTTGTCTGTAACTTGATTCAGTACTGATTGCTTCTGTAATTGCTGCATCAAGATTATTTGGATTAGATTTATTCACATGAAAGGCTATTTTTGGCTTTAATCCTTTCACGAATTACTCAATATAGTAGGTGACAGGATATGCATTTGTGAGGTCAATTTTTTGAAGTAGTGTACAAATATCCTCAGGATAGGAAGTTACTTCTTCATTTATTCCTTGCATTCTTAACCTTAACTGTTATTGCCATGCTAAGATCTGAGCATTAGTCCTGAATTGCATAATAAAAGTTTGATAGAATGAATTATTATCATTATTACCATTCCAGCTAGTAGGCCAATTAGCATTTGCGAGTTTTCTCTGCTGGTATCAGGTTGATGCAATATCTCTTAAATAAGCAGGTACTATTTCTACTTTTCTTGCATCTACTATATTATTTGTCAACTGCTAGAAATATGCTACATGATCATGAAATTTAATTTTATATTGCTGCAGAAAAGTTATTTATTTCAGAAAGTAACATAATTATGCATGTTACTTGATGCAAAAAATATAAGAAAAAAATCTCTTTTAATTAATAAAAGATCATTTTTTTGGATAAATCAAGTATGAAGATTGGAAAATAATCATGATAACTAAGAATATGACAAAATATGGATGAGAGGTTTAATACTAAGTACTTATCATCCACTTTTAAAAGTGATCAATGCTTAGTAATAGTTTGAAAATATTTCATAGGAGAACAAAAGAACTATTAATATTTTATGATGAAAAAAAAAGAAAAAATCAATATAAATACTTATCTTTGAATTCTAGAGACTCAACTTTTACTATTTTACAATATATTTTGTACATTAATAGGTGAAAAAATAATGTTTCAGCAAGATAATGCCCCAATTCATACCGCAATCAAAGTTAAAAAATAGTTTGAGAAAAAGAAAATCAAGATTATGGATTGGCCAGCAAATTCTCCCAATCTTAATCCTATAGAAAATATTTGGAAGTTGTTAAAGAATAATATTCAGAAGTATGAAAGCTTTCCAAGAACTGTAAACGAGCTCAAAACTTTCTTAAAGGAGGAGTGGTCGAAATTTGATATCAATATTCTTAGGGAGGTTATTGACTCAATGCCAAGAATTAATGTGGTATTGGAGGCAAAAGGAGGGCCAACAAAATATTAATTAAATATGAAAATAATTTTTTTATGTATAATATAAAAAAATAAAATAAATCGAAATTATATCTTAAGTTTTATGATAATTAAAAATTGGGTGTGGAGACTGTACATAAAAAGATAAATAATTTCAATAACCATGAGTAAATAGGCTGGATAGCAAATATGTTTACGTACACAACGCCCGAGTCAAAAAGTCTTCTGCAACATTAACACTTGGTCATTCCATCTCCTCTTCTCAGCCGTCAACTCCTTCTCCTCTAATTCCAGCTTCGCCTCCTCAATCTCTAATAGTCTTTCTAGCCTGTAACTTCTCACAATACTTTCGTCCAACAGCATTGTAGTAAACTCTTTCAGCCGTTGTCCATATCTTCCCTTCTCAAATTCCTTCAATGCAGTCTCGGCCTTCTCCAGCTGCCTCTCTGCCTTCTTCAATATTTCTCTCGTTTCGTCGATGGTTGCCATTTTTTTGTGTGTTCGTTTGTATGGGAAGATGCAAATCGAAAACGTGTAGATCATTCGAACATGCGCAATTTTAAAATTTATATGCTGAGACTTGTGGAAAGTCAAAAAATTTATTTCCGGAATTTGCATGTGCATATCAGATTTTGGTTGCGGAAAATTAAAATCGTTTGCGGTCCGCAAGTCAATTTTAGATATGAATGCACTATATAAATTTATAAAATACATAAAAATCTTATAAATTGTAAAAAGTAAATTTAAGTAAAAGAATCACGAATTTTGACGATCGCAATTTAAAGAGAGAAAGACTCAGTTCAACACTACAATTGGATACCGGAATCGTAAAATTAGATGACATATTTATCCAATACATCTCAAGATTAATAACTTTTTCCATTTCGCAATACAGTATCTTTCCATCTTCCAACTTTAATTGTTTTGCCATCAGAATAAAATTTTTTTCAGAACTAGGTCCGATTGCATATCCTTAACTATTAGAGGATCATAGGCGCTATTAAAACTAAAATACCAAGATTTGTTTCAGTGATAATTTCCATTCCTTCACATGCAAGAGAAATATCTACCATCTTCTCTTTATTTTCACAATTTCGGATCAAAAACGTCCACGAAACCAAGCTTTCGTGCTTGCAATCATCAGCGGGTGGACGAGAACCAACAATCACTGGATCACTGCCCATTTCCGTCCGTGCAGTACTGTTGATAAAAGATACCATGGTCGAGATGAAGTTGGTTGGAACCTCTATGGTAATCGAAGGCACCTGCTTTCTCTTTATCACCAACAATCTATTTTCCTTCAATAAGCAAGTTGGAATTGTCCACAAAAACTGATACAAAGCCCGGTGAGTGTTTGCTATGTGGAAGAGAGTTTTAGTAACGACTTATAATATACTTGCGTTTTTTGAGCTCTTCAATAAAACTTGGCAGGTCCAAACGCAAAACCAAGATCGCGGAAATCCTGTTTAGGAATACGGAACCGGTTATTCTTTCTTTACGGAAAACTGTAAGGTCATCGTTGTTTAATTTCAAATTCTTTCCTCGCAAATATTTGATTATCTCCGTAATTTCTAACTGCCATGTATAAAAGATGTCGTTATTGTTATACGTACAGATCCGGCGTTATTTTTTGGATAATGTGTATCAATTTTTTTAGAATGATTCACATTCATAAATGGACAATAAAAAGAATAACCTGATTGGATAAACCAATTCATGAAGAAATAAGGAATGATAAATTAAAAGAATATGGATACTTACAGTGTGTAACAAAAAAAACCGGATACTTTTATTTTGCCATTGCTCCTCAATGAGGGGGTCCACTAAAGCCGGGTAGTTCACGTGACATAGAATTCGATCTGGATCGTATCATGTGATTTATTCGTATCATGTGAAAAGTAATTATTGGCTGAACATATTATCGGATAATAATAGCGAACAAGAAAATTAGTAAACACAAAAAATTAACAATAATTAAGGAATATGAAGATAATTATAGCAAATATATAATAATAATTATATATATAATTATTTAAATTTAATATTTTTTATTATTAAAAACT